AACAGGTGTACGAGATGAGGGAGACCAACAGGTGTACGAGATGAGGGAGACCAACAGGTGTACGAGATGAGGGAGACCAACAGGTGTACGAGATGAGAGAGACCAACAGGTGTACGAGGTGAGGGAGACCAACAGGTGTACGAGATGAGAGACCAACAGGTGTACGAGATGAGAGACCAACAGGTGTACGAGATGAGAGACACCAACAGGTGTACGAGATGAGAGACCAACAGGTGTACGAGGTGAGAGACACCAACAGGTGTACGAGGTGAGAGACACCAACAGGTGTACGAGATGAGAGACACCAACAGGTGTACGAGGTGAGAGACACCAACAGGTGTACGAGATGAGAGACACCAACAGGTGTACGAGATGAGAGACACCAACAGGTGTACGAGATGAGAGACACCAACAGGTGTACGAGATGAGAGACACCAACAGGTGTACGAGGTGAGAGACACCAACAGGTGTACGAGATGAGAGACACCAACAGGTGTACGAGGTGAGAGACACCAACAGGTGTACGAGGTGAGAGACACCAACAGGTGTACGAGGTGAGAGACACCAACAGGTGTACGAGATGAGAGACACCAACAGGTGTACGAGGTGAGAGACACCAACAGGTGTACGAGGTGAGAGACACCAACAGGTGTACGAGGTGAGAGACACCAACAGGTGTACGAGGTGAGAGACACCAACAGGTGTACGAGATGAGAGACACCAACAGGTGTACGAGATGAGAGACACCAACAGGTGTACGAGATGAGAGACACCAACAGGTGTACGAGGTGAGAGACACCAACAGAAGGATGAAGAGAGACAGAAACATTAAAGTAATAATTACCTTTGACCTGCCTCCCATTTAATTAACAAAGGTAATTTCGCACACACTTTGGACTTGATTACATGTAAATTTCATGAATGGCAAATATTGCAAGCCTACTAATGTGTATGAATGTATATATATATAATATATATATATATATATATATATATATATATATATATATATATATATATATATATATATATATATATATATATATGTATATATAAATATATACATATATATAATATATATATATATATATATATATATTATATAATATATATATATATATATATATATATATATATATATATATATAATATATATATATATATATAATATATATACAAACTTATATATAGTTCTTTTGTGAAAAAAAATGTCGAGAAAGAGGCAATTTTTAAACTGTAATTATATTTCTGAAGTTTATGTGTTGTCATATATGTTAATTTGAGTACACGTGATACGCGGTATTATGTATCTGCAGCCAGACACACATTCCAAAAGCTACACTGAATTCATCCTAAATTCGCATATTTTAGATTCATGCCAGCTAACGTCGGTGTGGTTGTAGGACGTGTGTTTTTGTACGCCTCTGGGTTCGTGTACCGTTGTGGCATATATGTAACGTGGAAACATAGATATTCGTGCTTCTAGGTTAGATTAGGTTAGGTTAGGTTAGATTAGGTAAGCATAGGTTAGGCATGGTTAGGGTAGGCTAGGTCCAGTTTAGTTTGGTTAGGTTATGTTAGTATAGGTTAGGCATGGTTCAGGTAGGCTAGGTTCTGTTAAGTAAGGTTGGGTTCGGCTAGGTTTGGCTATGTTAAATTAAGTTAATTAGGCTCGGTTATTTTCGGCTAAGTTAGATTAGGTTATTTTCCATTGAGTAAGGTTAGAATCGGTTAAGTTTGGTTGGACTACAGTGACTTACTTTAGGTTAGGTTAGATTCGGCTAAGTTAGGCTAGATTCTGCTAGGTTAGGTTAGGCTAATTTACGGCTTATTGAGATGTCACTACCAAGTAACTCTTAACACCTGCATCCACAGTTCAGTCAACTCAGTCAGTCGGCACGGAACAGCAAGTCCGGCTGCGCTGTGAATACCAGCGCTGTGCGGTAACCCCCGTTAGCATCAGGACATCTCAACCAGCATCTGCTGTTACTCTGACAGGTAACGTCGTTACTCGGAGCGTGCCAAAAAAATATATATGCATTAAAATCCAAAAACAGTTAAGGTCATTTAATTAACTTGTGTACGAAATTTTCACTTAAAATACACTGTAGATTCTCTAATTAATAAACAATCAAACAATGAGAGAACATCAGAGAACACTTCACCTGTTTAATAGTGCAAAATGTGTTCAACATATATGAATATTCAAAGTCGGTACAATGAACCGTGAAATAATGTTGCAAGCGTGTTCAATCATTGGTATTTACTAGACAATAAAAAGTATCTCTCCAATAAATTAAATCTTCATCTAACATTATTATTGCATGTACCACAGATAAAACTGCAACTGTTACTTTGTTATGTTGAATAATAGATCATGAATTGTATGTTTGATATATGTTAATGACAATGAATTAAATTATATATATATATATATATATATATATATATATATATATATATATATATATATATATATATATATATATATATATATCTATATATATATATATATATATATATATATATATATATATATATATATATATATATATATATATATATATATATATATATATATATACTATATATATAATAGCAACGCTCATCTTGCCATA